AACGTTTTCGATCGTCGATTTTAATCGACTAAATCGAATCGTTGTTGCAGCTCTAGATAAAACATTACATGGCATGTGCAGGCATTATACACATTCACTCCAAACCTAACGCTACCCCTCAAGAGTATATCCAGCATTACGTTTTACCTTGTTCCTGTAGAAAGAACCAGCTTTTGTTACTCCCTGTGATGTCATCACCAGGCTTGGAAGATTCTTACAGGAGCAGCTGCCTGTGGGTCAATTCCTACTGATGGAGCCATGACCTCCAGAGATAGACATGAACACATTTGTTGGTACCCTTAAGCTGGTCATACACTGTGCAAATTTTGGCCGGTTCATTAGGAATTGATGGACAATTGAATGTCGATACTGTTCCGTCCGGCATCCTATCCCTCTCCTCCTCCCCGTACTTCTGCCGCACATAGAAGTGATCGGGCAATTTTACTGCCACTCAGATCACTAATTTTTAAAATCCAGAAGCCTGCTGATAGAATTAAAAATTCGCTCAAGGCTGCAATTGCAGGTTTGAGCTTGTTTTAACCCTTTTAATGCCATGACATTTGGCACCTTATTGGCAGTGAAAGCGTTAAGCCTGTAAATGCTTCTGAACCCTATGAAAGACTCCTCTGTACATGCATTGTTCTAGTATTCAGAAAAGAATTAAAGCTGAACTCCAGTATAAGCAAATTATTTTCTAAATGCAAGGATCATATGTATTTCATGCTTGAATCTTGGTGTGCTTTGTGTATTTCTTCCACATCTGTTCAGTAATCCAGTGCGAAACTTTGTCCCTGTGCAGGGCCTTCTTGTAACATAGACCGGCTACTGCTGCTCTGTCTGGTCCTGTATCCGCCCCTTCTGTAGTTTTAGCAGGCAGCCTGTAGTGGGTGGAGCCTACTGCGTCGCTCTGACTCTGCACAGGCTATGTACAGAACAGTGATGATGTCACTGCTACTTTTACAAGGATATACCTGGGCTTGCAGAGGTATTTGGTGCACATAAAGTGGATTTTATATTATTTGTGGTTATTTAGGAATATGGATTTGTGCCCCGAGTTCAGCTTTTACTTTAATTAAACAGGATGCAGACAGACTTTACTTACTGGGATTGTATGGGTGCCCATCTGGATGTGCCCTAGTGTCAGAATTCACAGTTTAACCAAAAAAATAATTGTTCATCTTTAACCAGTTTTCAGTCACAGATGACCCTTTTACATCCCCCCACAATGACTTTGTAGATCTATGGCTTAATGTCATAAATGGTCCCATTATTATAAGGTCCTCTTAAGTTGCTATTATTGCACTGCACAACCAGAAGGGGTTAAAGTGACATTAAACCCTCAGATTTTTTTTAACATAAACCAATACTGTAATGTGTGCCTTACTGTCAGTGGCGTCACGCGGGGGGTGCGGCCCGCACCCGGGTGACACCATTGGAGGGGTGACACCAAAACGACTCAGTCATTTTGGTGTCACCCCCCTCTGAAAAGTCGGGCGCTCGGTCATGGACCGAACGCCCGACAGTATCAGGAGAGAGGAGGGTACCCGGCGGCATACCTTATCCCGCCGGGCGACTGTCCCCTCCTCTCTTTGCCGGCGTCCATCACCAAGATGGTGTCCGAATACTGCCGCGCGTGTGCGATGACGTCATGCGCAGTGACGTCTCGATGGGGTGACACTCGGTTACCGCTCCGGGTGTCACCCTGCCTCGGGACGCCCCTGCTTACTGTAATCCATGGTAGTTTCCCTTCTCTTTGCTGCTCTTCCTTTTTAAATCCTCATGTCTTCTCATGCTGGGGGAGAACTTCCCTTTGCAGCTGAGTGCCTCTTCCTGTAGTGCTGGCTCAGGTTGTGAACCTACACACAGACACCATGTATCCATTCCAGAGACAAGGCAGTCTGCTGCAAAACAGACGTTCTGCCCAGCATGAGAAGACATGAGGATTTAAAAGGAAGAGCAGCAAAGAGAAGGGAAACAACCATGGATTACAGTAAGGCAAGCATTACGTTTTACCTTGTTCCTGTAGAAAGAACCAGCTTTTGTTACTCCCTGTGATGTCATCACCAGGCTTGGAAGATTCTTACAGGAGCAGCTGCCTGTGGGTCAATTCCTACTGATGGAGCCATGACCTCCAGAGATAGACATGAACACATTTGTTGGTACCCTTAAGCTGGTCATACACTGTGCAAATTTTGGCCGGTTCATTAGGAATTGATGGACAATTGAATGTCGATACTGTTCCGTCCGGCATCCTATCCCTCTCCTCCTCCCCGTACTTCTGCCGCACATAGAAGTGATCGGGCAATTTTACTGCCACTCAGATCACTAATTTTTAAAATCCAGAAGCCTGCTGATAGAATTAAAAATTCGCTCAAGGCTGCAATTGCAGGTTTGAGCTTGTTTTAACCCTTTTAATGCCATGACATTTGGCACCTTATTGGCAGTGAAAGCGTTAAGCCTGTAAATGCTTCTGAACCCTATGAAAGACTCCTCTGTACATGCATTGTTCTAGTATTCAGAAAAGAATTAAAGCTGAACTCCAGTATAAGCAAATTATTTTCTAAATGCAAGGATCATATGTATTTCATGCTTGAATCTTGGTGTGCTTTGTGTATTTCTTCCACATCTGTTCAGTAATCCAGTGCGAAACTTTGTCCCTGTGCAGGGCCTTCTTGTAACATAGACCGGCTACTGCTGCTCTGTCTGGTCCTGTATCCGCCCCTTCTGTAGTTTTAGCAGGCAGCCTGTAGTGGGTGGAGCCTACTGCGTCGCTCTGACTCTGCACAGGCTATGTACAGAACAGTGATGATGTCACTGCTACTTTTACAAGGATATACCTGGGCTTGCAGAGGTATTTGGTGCACATAAAGTGGATTTTATATTATTTGTGGTTATTTAGGAATATGGATTTGTGCCCCGAGTTCAGCTTTTACTTTAATTAAACAGGATGCAGACAGACTTTACTTACTGGGATTGTATGGGTGCCCATCTGGATGTGCCCTAGTGTCAGAATTCACAGTTTAACCAAAAAAATAATTGTTCATCTTTAACCAGTTTTCAGTCACAGATGACCCTTTTACATCCCCCCACAATGACTTTGTAGATCTATGGCTTAATGTCATAAATGGTCCCATTATTATAAGGTCCTCTTAAGTTGCTATTATTGCACTGCACAACCAGAAGGGGTTAAAGTGACATTAAACCCTCAGATTTTTTTTAACATAAACCAATACTGTAATGTGTGCCTTACTGTCAGTGGCGTCACGCGGGGGGTGCGGCCCGCACCCGGGTGACACCATTGGAGGGGTGACACCAAAACGACTCAGTCATTTTGGTGTCACCCCCCTCTGAAAAGTCGGGCGCTCGGTCATGGACCGAACGCCCGACAGTATCAGGAGAGAGGAGGGTACCCGGCGGCATACCTTATCCCGCCGGGCGACTGTCCCCTCCTCTCTTTGCCGGCGTCCATCACCAAGATGGTGTCCGAATACTGCCGCGCGTGTGCGATGACGTCATGCGCAGTGACGTCTCGATGGGGTGACACTCGGTTACCGCTCCGGGTGTCACCCTGCCTCGGGACGCCCCTGCTTACTGTAATCCATGGTAGTTTCCCTTCTCTTTGCTGCTCTTCCTTTTTAAATCCTCATGTCTTCTCATGCTGGGGGAGAACTTCCCTTTGCAGCTGAGTGCCTCTTCCTGTAGTGCTGGCTCAGGTTGTGAACCTACACACAGACACCATGTATCCATTCCAGAGACAAGGCAGTCTGCTGCAAAACAGACGTTCTGCCCAGCATGAGAAGAGATACGAATTTAAAAGGAAGAGCAGCAAAGAGAAGGGAAACTACCATGGATTACAGTAAGGCACACATTACAGTATTGTTTTATGTTAAAAAATCAGAGTTTAATGTCACTTCAAGGTAAATAAGGTCAAATAAGTGGCTGCTTGTGTCTCCATTCTAAATGTTAAAACATTTACAGTTATTTGAAGATTACCGTAGTTTTTTAATATTGGAAGGAGGTGCTTGTGTTAGTGTTTTAGGACTTTAAATAATAATAAAACAGAAATAATAATGTAATGGTTGATTTACGCTACCCTTATATTTTCACAGTGCCACCCAGTGGTTAAGTTATGAATTACAAGTATATAACACTATGTACTCATTCTTCGAAAATGCAACTTTTAATACGTTTTAGTAGTGCGCAAATCTATGTTAAGTTCAAGTTGTTAATAAACTTTTTATTGATGCATGTCAACTCATCCAATCTAAATTCTGTTTCTGACAGACTGTATCTGCACTAATTCTGCATGCAAACATTTCTGCGTATTACAAGAGAATCAAATTTAACATTGATTTAACACAGAGTTTATGAAATATAGACAGTTAACATTAGTAGACACACAACATCCATAATGTAGTTGCAGCTTATTTTTTTCATATATCTTTTGGGATTTCTCATCTCCTGTGCATATAGGTACATAAAGTAGCAATATCTTGTGTGGGTTTGTATAAAAAAGTTCCTGTTATGCCATAAAAATAAACTTTTTTTTTTTTTTTTTTTTTTTTTTT